TTCTGAAAGCAGGGCAGCTGCAGAAATGGGGTCTGAATCTCCTGGTCAGCCTGGAACCACTGAAATCTGGACTAGATATTGGTGGCTTGGGGAGAAAGCAGGAAACGTCTTTTGGTGTCAGGGTGCTCTGGTGACAGGGTTCTGCTTACTCCCAATGTTGGCCACAGCCTCAAACAGGTCTGAGGCTGCAGGGGCCTCTGGTCCGAATGGCCCAGCCAGTGAGCTGCAAGACAGGGACAAGAAGCTAGGTCCTGACCTCTGCCTCCCAGCCCAAACCCCGAGGCTGCATCCTGATTTATCCCAACCCACCTTGGGTCTCCTCCCTGCCAGGGCCTCAGTTTTCCGAACTGAAATGAGGAACTGGGCAGTGGACCCTGAGGTACCTTACAGAGTCTCTGCCCACAGCACAGGGTGAGCCAGGGCAGGGCTCGGGGCTCACTGACCTGCTGAGGTGAAGGCATCATTGGAAGAAAAGGCAGACTGGGGTGGGAAGAAGATCAGGGGTGTAGTGAGGGTAACAAGCACCCTCCCCCACCCATTTCAAGATGAATAGACGTTGATAGTGGTAACACTTCAGCAGAAACGCCTTCCTCCCTCTTGTCCAGCTACCTCAGTCAGGCGCCTTTCATATTTGTGGCGCCTCAGAATGTTATTCCGTGCCTCGTCTGGCACCCCCTTGGACTTGCGCCCGGGGCCAAGTGCTCCTGTCTGTCTCCCGTGCCCCCCATGCCTCTGAAGAAGATGCCAGAGGAGGAAAGTAGCAGGGCCTGAGGTGGCCCTGGGTCGCCAGGCCCAAGCGGCATTCCTGCCTCTCCCAGGGAGAGACTCACAAGGCCCTTGAGAAGCAGGGAAGGGGGATCATTTAGACCGGTGGTGAGGAACACAAGCTTTGGAGTCCAACAGATAAAGGGTAAAATCCCTACGGTTTCAGTCTCAGTTTCTTTTTCTGAAAAACGGTGGCAGCAACACCTACCACATAAGGAAGTTGAGAGAGTATGTATATGAGGTATAAAGCGTGTCATGTACTTGGTTAGCACTGGGCCCTGCACATTATAGGGGCTTAATAAATGGTACCTGTCTGCACTTGGAACATTTACTGAGCACCTGGGGTGTGCCAGGCTCTCTACCAGGCTCTGGGGGAAATGATAGGGACAAGACACTCAGGAAGCTCCAGTCCAGTGGGGGAGACAGATAAGTAAGCCGACAAACTCCAGAGTGTAAGAAACACTGCAATAGGGAAAGTGCTGGGTGTTTGGGGAAGCTGGGAGGTGGGGGGAGGGGTCATGGAAGGCCTTTGGGAGGAAGCACTATCTTTACTGAGATATAAATAGGTATTATCTAGGTATGGGTCAGATGAAGTACGGGGAGCGTGTGCCAAGCATGCCAAGCAGGGGAGAAGCCACCTGCTTTTCCAGAGGAGAAGTTGCCATCTTGGGATGGGTCTGGGGACAGACAGAACTAAGGTGAGAAAACCTGGCCTTGCCCTCAGCTTCGCACAAGGCAGTGGAGAAGTCATTTCCCTGGACTGTGGGCCCAGAGGTGAGAGGATGTGAGGCAATGATCTTTTCACCCCTCCCGCACCCCTTATCCCTGCTGCCTCGTACCCTGGGGATCACCAGGTCCAACGTGTCCACCTCTGTCCTCTGCGGCTCCCACCCCCATTCAGTGTGTGTTGTGTGATGGCGGCCTGGGTCCTGGGCACACTGTGGTGTTGGGGAAGACCCGTGCCCTGTGCCCTTGGCTCCAGAGAGAATCCTTGGGTCTTTCCTCTGGAGGAGAGAAGAAGTCCCTAAAAAGGTGGCCTGAGGGATGTGTGTGGAACGGAGGGAGGAGAAGCTACCCGCCAGGGAGGTGGTGGGTGGTGGGCAGGTGCAGCTCATGGCAGGGGCACTTGGGGCCCATGGGCAGCCACTGAGGGGCTAGATTAGAGGCTCTGGAGTTAGCCACCTGCCTTGGTCCTGTCTCCTCACCTCCCCCTGCCCTCGCCCCTCCCTCTTTCTGCAAAGCCTAAGAATCTACTCTGCCTTGGGAAAGGACTTTGACACATTTTCCAAATAAGGTTGAGAGAAATCTCCAGAGAGGAAGAAGAGTAAACAAACTTTAAAAATGCGGAAGGAAATGCCTTATTGATTTTTTTTTTTTAAAGGAAATAAAAAGGGGGACCTTAGCCAGTTCTAAGTGAAAGTTTCCAGTGGCTGTGTCATGAGGTCACATAGACTTCAGGGAGCCTGGAAGTCTGGGGTGGGGGCATCTAAGGTGAGTCTTCACTCCAGATTCAGAATCAGTTCAGTGAATGGTGGCTGCCACCTTCAAGGTGCCAGTCTCGGTGCTCGGCTCTGCAGGGCCAGGACGCAAAGCCCTGAGGCCTCCCTCCAGTGTGGGCTCTGGCCAGGAGCTGGGACAAAGGCAGCAAAGGACTGATGGCCAAGGGGGAGTGTCTTAGTCATCCAGTGCTGCTCTAACAGAAATACCACAAGTGGATGGCTTTAACAAAGAGAAGTTTATTTCCTCACAGTCTACTAGGCTTCAAGTCCAAATTCAGGACATCATCTCCAGGGGAAGGCTTTCTCTCTCTGTCGGCCCTCTTCTCATCAGTGTTCCCCCGGACTAGGAGCTTCTCTGCGCAGGGACCCCAGGTCCAAAGGACACGCTCTGCTCCTGGCACTGCTTTCTTCGTGGTATGAGGTCCCCAATTCTCCACTTGCTTCCCTTTCCTTTTATCTTTTACAAGAGATAAAAGGTGGTGCAGGCCACACTCCAGGGAAACTCCCTGTTCATTGGATCAGGGATGTGACCTGGGTAAGGGTGGTGTCACAATCCCACCCTAATCCTCTTTAATGTAAAATTACAATCACAAAATGGAGGGCAACCACACAACACTGGGAATCATGGCCTAGCCAAATTGATACACACATTTTTTGGGGGACACAATATAATCCATGACAGGGAGCATGACAAATGTCACAACAAGAAAAACTCAAATAAGTGCAAAGGGAATTGAGGGAAGGAAGGTTCACTTCTGAGTTCCAGTTTCTGGGTTGGGGCTCAGGGCAGGTGAAGAAAGGCTTCAGGGACAAGATAGATTGAGTTAGGCTAACATATGGTGGCTGACAACACCATCGTCAACAACAACAGGTTTTCAGTAGGCAGAGATCGAGAAGAAGGCATTCCAGGGAGAGCAAACGGTGTGAGCAAAGGTGCAGAGGTGGGAAACTCTTCAATGCTTTGAGAAATAGGGATATTCAACTTTTTAAAACATTTCTTTGTTTAATTTTTAAACAACTTTATTGAGATGTAATACGCAAATCATACAATTCACCCAATTAAAGTGATTATAGAGTTGTGCAACCAACACTACAATCAGTTTTAGAACATTTTTATCACCTCGAAAAGAAACCCTATACTGTTTAGCAGTCATTCCCCATCCCCCTAGCCCTAGGCAGCCACTGATTTGCTGTTTCTATGGATTTGCCTATTCTGGATATTTCATGTAAATGGAGTTATACAATATGTGGCCTCTTGTGACTGGCTTCTTTCCGTTAGCATAATGTTTTCAGCGTTCATCCTTGTAATAGCATGCATCAGTAATTCATTCCTTTTTTATGGCAGAAGAATATTCCATTGCATGGATATACCACATTGTGTTTGTTTATTCGTTAATTTGAGTTGTTTCCACTTTATGGCTATTATGAGTAATACTGCTATGAACATTTGTGTACAAGTTTTTTTGTGAATATATGTTTTTGTTTCTCTTGGGTATATACCTAGGAGTGGAATTGTTGGATCATATGGTAACTACCTGTTTAACCCTTTGAGGAATTGACACCCTGTTTTCCCAAGCAGCTGCACCATTTTACAACACCACTAGCAGAATATGAAAGTTCCAATTCTCCACATCCTTGCCAACACTGGTTATTTCTGTCTTTTTGATTATAGCCATCCTAGTGGGTGTGAAGTGGTATCCCATTGTGGTGCCCCATGTTTTCTTGTCACCCAAAATACCCACTCTTGGGACAGAACTCAGAAAGTTTTATGGTTCAGCTTAATAAGGGCCTCCAGACCCTAGACTAAGGATGTACTGTTGAAGGGGCTCTGGGGTAGGAGTCACACACAGTGAGAGACTCTGGATCTTGGCCTCAACCTCAGAAAATAGCGTTGCAAGTTTTTGCATAGATGTATGTTTTCAGGTCATTCCGTTTTGAATGGGTCTAGGACAGTCACTGTGGGAAGTGGGGGGAAAGAGGGTGACGTAGAGGGACCTGCTTATCTACCTCCTACTCAGAGCGGGTGGGTGGGAGTGAGAAGTCTGGGGCTCAGGAGCCTGCGTTATAGCCCAGGGCAGGGCTGCCCCTCAGCACACACCTACATTGTTGTGTCAGACCCAGCAGCTGTTTGCTGGGCTGGAGATAGCCTGGGAAACTTGTATTTTCTCTGGAAACAGGTGCATTTTTTCCTGTGTCCTGCTGAGTGTCAAATGAGTTAAGCACAGAGAAGTGTGGGCCATATAGTTAGTCTAGAGGAGGGCAGTGCTGTCAAGAGGAAGTCAACTAGCCGCAAAAAAGGCTGGTCAGGAAGAGCAAGGTCAATAAGTGTAAACTCGGCTAAGCTGCATCACCCCAGCCCCTAGCCCACTTACATGAGACAGTGGTTTTGTTTATAGGAAGTACTACAAGTATCTCATTGTCCCCATTTGACAGATGGAGCAACAGAGGCACTGCAGGAAGCAGATCTGTCATTCAGAGATAGAAAGAGAATTAAAGCTAAAGTCTCCAGTTCTGCTGTCAGCAGCAGGTTTGGTAAAACCCAGGCCTTGCCCTTGGCACTAGGCCTGTTTTGCGGTTCACAGGGGGAGACTGAGGACACAAAAACAAGAAAGAGTTTATACTGTTTTAGTCACCTAAAAAAGACACCAAACCCCACCCCAAACCTCAGAGCAAAAGCACAAAACATGGCTGTAATTACCGTCTTTTCTTCCTTCCTTTTTTTTTTTTGTTCTCCAGCCAGAAAACATTATGTTGTTAGACAAGAATATTCCCATTCCACACATCAAGCTGATTGACTTTGGCCTGGCTCATGAAATAGAAGATGGAGTTGAGTTTAAGAGCATTTTTGGGACGCCGGAATTTGTTGGTGAGCTTTAGGCCTATTTGTCTTCCAGCTGAGAGTGTGGGATCAAAAGGCAGAGGACTCCTGGGAACAAACCCTTTGTCTGGGGGTATGGCCTCTGGGCTGGGAGATGATGCCCTGGGATGCCCCATAGGAACTTAAATGGAGGGGAAGGAAATGCCCTGCAAGACATCCAGGTGAGGGTCGAGGTGCTGGCTCTCAGGGCCCAGCAGGCCAGAAGGTGGCCAGGTGGTGCCTAGAGGCCTCTGCAGAATTAAAGCCCCTCAAGCTGGCCCCACCCGCTGCTCTTAGATGAGCTTATTTTGAAGATTTAAAATCACCTCACCCCCTCACAGTCCCCTAAATTCAACCTTATTTTCTGAAAAGGAAAAAGGAAGTCATCTACCAGATGCCAGATCCACCCACTTGCCTTTGGGAGTTGGAATGGTCTTGAAGATGTAGGGAGGGCATGGTCTCCTCAAATTCCTGTGGGCTGAAACTTGTGTACCCAGGAAATTGATTTCCAGAAGAGGGCAAAAATTCAGGCAAAAGAAAACAAAACGAAGAACAACAACGAAGAAACAATAAATCATAGTTTACAACCAGCAGACTTTCACTAACAGAACTTCTAAAAGATGTCCTTCTGGATTAAGGAAAAAGACCTCAGAAGAGAGGCCTCAATAAAAGAAGCAATAGTGAGAAAATACATCAGTAAATATTAGGCAGTTATAAACATTTTCTGTCTAAAAGAATGATGATGATGAAGAGGTTTTAATTGTGTGGTTAAAAAAGGCAGAACTAAAAACAATAATGTTAGATAGGAGCAAGTGTTTAAAATTAGTGTTCAAGGTTCTTAAATTGTTAGGAGAGGATGAAAATGTTGATTTATGTTAGGATTTGTTAGATATCCATAGTAGAGTTTCAAGAGTAACCATTAAAAAAAATATAAGTTGGGAAAAACAGTAATGAAACTAATTAAAAAAAAAAACTTGATTAAAAAAAAAAGACAAGAAAGGAGAAGAAAAACACAGGAAAAAATGAGCAAATAAAAGCACTAGTAGCACAGTGGTTAAAGCGCTTGACTGTTAACCAAAAGAGCTGCTTTTTGAACCCACCAGCCAAGAAAGATGCAAGAATTTGCTTCTGTAAAGATTACAGCCTTGGAAGCCCTATGGGGCAGTTCTACTCTGTCTTATAGGGTCACTCTGAGCTGCTGTTGACTCGGTGGCAATGGGTTTTGGGTTTGGGATATACATCTATATATGTATATATGGAGAGGGAGAGAGAAAGAAATATATGTGTATGGGTGTGTGTGTATGTGTGTGTGTGTGTGTGTATAAACCCATTGCCATCGAGTAGATTCCAATGAGTGGCTGGTGGATTTGAACTGCTGACCTTTTGGTTAGCAGCTACAGCACTTAACCACTACGCCACTAGGGTTTCCTCTGTAGGATTACAACCACTGAAAACCCTATGGAGTGCAGTTCTACTCTAACACACACAGGGTTGCCATATGTTGGAATTGACTCGACAGCAACAGGTAACATTTGTATGGATGCCTGAAACATAAGGCTATGCAATGATTGTAAATAAAAGACTGTAAAAATATATACCAGGCAAACATTAACTAAAAGAAAGCTGAGGTAACTATATTAATAAAAAAAGATGTTAAAAAACATTTTTAAAGATAAATGGTGTGTGTATATAAACAAAAATTTAGTTCACCGAGAAGTCATAACAATTCTAAACTTAGATGTACCTAATAAAATACCTAAAAGAAATACAGCAAAATTGATTGAATTACAGGAAGGAATTGAAAAATTCATCATTATAGTGGAAGATTTAAACACACTTACCTCAGTTATAACAAATCAAGCAACAAAAGGTAGTAAAATAAAAGATGTAAGTAACACAGCTAACGAGTTTAATTGAATTGACATATATAGAATGGTATACTTAACAATTAGCTTCTTAAGCTCTTGTGTAACATTTACAAAAATAACCATGTATTCTCATAAAGGAAATCCCAATGAATTTCAATAAATTAGTATCACACTCACCACATTTCTGATGAAAATGTGAAAAGATACTTTATCCTTGTACGCTTGGAAATGAACACACTTTTAAATAATGTTTGGAGGAAATCATAATGGAAAGTAAAAAATGCTTAGAATTTAGAAGCTTATGTAATGTAGCAAAAGTGTTACTTAAAAAAAATTTATAACCTAATTACTGTAATTGGAAAAGAAGAAAGCATTAAAATTAATAAGCTAAGCATCCAACCTAAGAAATGAGAAAAAGAACAGTTGAATAAACCCAAAGAAAGAAGAATACATATGACAAAGATAGGAACTGAAATTGTACTAGGATACAACAGAGAGGATCAACCAAATCAAAAGTTGGGCAAATTGCTGGTGATATTGAATGGCAGTGGTGGGGGACACATAAAAAGAATTAGGAATAAAAACAAACACAAAACTACTAATATAGCAGAAATTGTAAATACAGTAGAATACTTTGCACAATTTCATGTCAAGGAATTTGAAAATTTAGGCAAAAAGGACAAATTTCTATAACTTGTCAGAAACAAATCAAGAATACCTGAACCTATTGCCATTGAGTCGATTCTGACTCATAGCAACCTTATAGGACAGAGTAAAACTGCCACATAGGGTTTCCAAGGAGCACCTGGTGGATTCAAACTGCTGACCTTTTGGTTAGCAGCTGTAGCTCTTAACCACTGCACCACTAGGGTTTCCAAATCAAGGATAGTCATTAATTATATCAGTAGTTAAAAAATATTCCCACAATGCAAAATGGTACAACCATTTTGGAAAATACCATGGGACTTCCTTAAACAGCTAGAAATAGAAATACCATATGATCCAGCAATCCCACTCATAAGAATATATCCTGGAGAAAGAAGAGCCGGCACATGAATAGACATATGCACACCCATGTTCACTGCAGCACTGTTCACAGTAGCAAAAAAATGGAAACAACCTAAGTGCCCATCAATGGATGAATGGATAAACTATGGTACATACACACCATGGAATACTATGCAATGATAAAGAGCAATGGTAAATCTGTGAAATATCTCACAACATGGATGAATCTGGAGGGCATTATGCTGAGTGAAATGTCAGTCACAAAAGGACAAATATTGTATGAGACCACTACTATAAAAACTTGTGAAAACGTTTACACACAAAAAGAAACAATGTTTGATGGTTACGAGGGAGGGAAGGGGTGGGGATAGAAAAACACTAAATAGGCAGTAGATAAGCTGTAACTTTGGTAAAGGGTCGGACAGTACAAAATACTGGGGAAGCCAGCACAACTTGACCAAGGCAAGGTCATGGAAGCTCCATAAAAAATAAAAACAAAACCTTGCCATTGAGTCAACTCCAACTCATAGTGACCCTATAGGACAGAGTAGAACTGCCCCCGTAGAGTTTCCAAGGAGCGCCTGGTGGATTCAAACTGCCAACCGTTGGTTAGCAGCCGTAGCTCTTAACCACTACGTCACCAGAGTTTCCGGAAGCTCCATAGACACATCCAAACTCCCTGAGGGACTGAATTACTGGGCTGAGGGCTGGGGGCCATGGCCTCAGGGAACATCTAGATCAATTGGCATAACATAGTTTATAGAGAAAATGTTCTACATCCTACTTTGGTGAGTAGCGTCTGGGGTCTTAAAAGCTTGTGAGCAGCCATCTAAGATACTCCGCTGGTCCCACCTTGTCTGGAGCAAGGGAGAATGAAGAAAACCAAAGACACAGGGAAAGATATAGTCCAAAGGACTAATGGACCACAAGTACCACAGCCTCCACCAGACTGAGACCAGCACAACTAGATAGTGCCCAGCTCCCACCACCGACTGCTCTGACAGGGATCACAATAGGGGATCTCAGACAGAGCTGGAGAAAACTGTAGAATAGTATTCTAACTCACACACACACACAAAAGACCAGACTTACTGGTCTGAGAGAGACTGGAAAAACCCTGAGAGTATGGACCCCGGACACCTGTTAGCTCAGTACTGAAGTCACTCCTGAAGTTCACCCTTCAGCCAAAGATTAGACAGGCCCATAAAACAAAACCAGACCCAATGGGCACACCAGAACAGAGGCAAGGACAAGAAGGCAGGAGGGGACAGGAAAGCTGGTAATGGGGAACCCAAGGACGAGAAGGAGTGAGTGTTGACATGTCATGAGGTTGGCAACCAATGTTACAAAACAATATGTGTATCAATTGTTTCATGAGAAACTAATTTGCTCTGTAAACCTTCATCTAAAGTACAATTAAAAAAATTTTTTTTTACCACAAAGAAAAATCAGGCCCCAATGGTTTTACAAGCAAATTCTAAAAACCTTAAGAGCCTATTGCAATGTTATATCAATTTTCAGATACTGGGATATTCCCAGTATCATATCAATTTTATTTTCTCTTGCAGAGAATATAAAAAAGAGGGACTATCTCCCAGGTATTATCTGAGAACTATATAATTTTGATATGCAAGCCATACAGGGATAGTACAAGAAAGTAAAATTATAAGCCAATCTCATTTATGAATATGAATATGCAAATGAATATGCAAAAATTCTAAACCATTATTAGCGAACTAAATTCAATGGTGTATGAAAAGGTGTGGCGAATTAAAGATGACCACAAATTCTTTCACACTTCTCTCATTGAGAGGTCTGGACTATGTCCCTTCCTCCTCAAATCTACCTAGACTTTAAGTTACCGGCACCTTCCCTTTGGGTAGTTCATTATGCAAAAAGAGATAACCAGAACAAAGGGTAATAAATCCTAACCAAGTTGGATTTATTCCATGATTATAAGAGTGGCTTTACATTAGACAGTCTATAAATTACTTGACCAAGTAGCAGATTAAAAGAAAAAATAATATTTTATTAGATGCACACATTTTTTAATTTAAAAAGTTTTCTACAAACTAAGAATAGAAAGGAACTTTCATCACTTAGTAAAAAGTATCCACCAAAACCTACAGAAAACATCATTCTTAATAATGAAATGTTAGGAGCACTCTCTCTACAATCGGAAACAAGACAGTGGTGCACATTATCACTCACTGCTGTTCAACACGGTACTGGAGGTCCCAACTTGAAAAGAAAGATAAATAAAAGTAATAAAGAAATTAAAAGGACAAAACCACTCTAATTATTTACAGAAGAAGTAATTTTCTATACGGAAAACAAAAAATTTACAGACAAATTATTATATTTAATGAGACATTAGCACGGTGGCAAACAAAAAAAGCAACTGTATTTTTACACTCCAGTAAAAAAAAAGTAAAAAAGGTACCATTTTTGTTAACCATTGTCATAAAACAATATGTGTACTAACTGTTTAATGAGACTCTGTTCTGTACACCTTCATCTAAAGTACAATAAAAAAAAAAGTACCATTTACAATAAAATAAGAAATAAGATGCCTAAAGATTTCTTTTTAGGGCAGTTGAAGTGTTCTCAAATTTTACTGCGGTGACAGTTGTTCAACTATGCAAATATACTAAAGTTCATTGAATTGTATACTTAAAATGAGTGGATTTTATGGTATGTCAATTACATTTCGATAAAGCTGGTGGATAAAAAGCCACTTAAGAATAAATCTAACAAAAAAAATATGCTAGACTTGTGTAGAGAAAATGATAAAAGTTTGCTGACTGATAGTAAAGGAGATCTAATAAAATAGAGAGATATCCATGTTCACGGATGGGAAGACTCATTCATTTCTCTCCAGTTGAACTGTAGAGCCAAAGCAATTCCAATCAAAACTCCACCTCAGCTTCTTTAGGACTTTGATGAGACTGACTCTCAAATGAATGAATAACAAAGGCCCTAGAATAGTCCAGATTCTCTTGGAGAATAAGATAGAAGGCATGCCCTACCCAATATCAAGACTTCTTATAAAATTACAGTGGGAATAAATAAACTGATCAATGGAATAGATTAGAGAGGCCGAAAACAAATCCATGCATATTTTAGAAGTTTTATACATACTGGATGTAGCATTGCAAATCACTCAGGAAAGGACAAACTATTCAATAAATGATGCTGGGACAACTGGACATTTATGTGGAAAAATTAAAAAAGAAAAGGTATCTCTAATTCTTCCATACACAAAAATAATTTCCAGGTAGAAAGACAAAACCTTAAGACTTTTAAAATAAAATAAAGAAGAGTATCTTAATGATTTCAGGGTAGGTAAGAATTTTTTAAACACAACGTAAGAATACTAACCGCCCAAGAAAAGATTGAAAAAATTGGCTACACTAATATTAAACATCCGATTGTCAAAACACACACACACACAATGAAATAAAAAGCAGTTCACAACCCAGGAGAATAAATCCGTAAGATGTATAATTGACAAAGGATTAAAATCCAGAATATATAAAGAGTTATTACAAATCAATTAAAAAAAACGAAAAGAAAACCAACCCAATGGAGAAGTGGGCATAAAACATGAGCAGGCGTTTTATAATAAGGCGACATAAATCATCAGTGAGCATTTGAAAAGATGCTTAAATTCATTAGTAATCTAGGAAATACAAATAAACGTCACAATGAGATAGCATTTTATAACTACTACTTGGGCAAAATTTAAAATACCAAGTATCGATCAGGATGTGTTTAAAAAGGATCTCTTATTCACTACTCGTGGGAGTGTAAATTTGTGCTATCACTTTAGAAACAATTTGGCTTTTTTTTTTTTTTTTTTAATAAAATTGAACATTAGCAAACCCTAACAACTCAGCAATTGTACTCCTAGCTCCTCAAACTCTCTGTGGTAAGACTTTTTTTTTTTTTTTAATTTCCAATCTGCCCTGAATTACGACCTCAGTATGATACAGTAAAAATAAATTCCTAGAAAAATGATCACGTTTGAATGTCCTAGCAATGATGAATTGCTACAAGAGTTTCTAAATGCTTCCTCCGAACTTCTTTGCCTACCTTATCTGGACCAGTGACAGCCTGTGGAATATTGGTCTGCAGACCACACTTTGTCACTGTCCTAAAGAAAGTCTTTCACATGTGCATCAGGAGACAGGTACAAAAAAGTTCATAGTAACATTGTTCCAATTAAAAAAAAAACTAAAAACCAAAGCTGTTGCCGTCAATTCTGACTCATAGTGACCCTATAGGGCAGAGCAGAATTGCCCACACAGAGTTTACAAGGAGCAGCTGGTGGATTTGAACTGCTGACCTTTTGTTTAGCAGCCATACCATTAACCACTGTGCCACCAGGGCTCCATTGTTCCAATAATGAAAAAAAAAAAGGAAAACATCCAAATGGTGGCCGAGAGGCAAAAATCTAAAAAAATATGGTGAAAATGAAAAACAATGGATGAACATTCAATGAACAGTAGAAGCATAATGTTGAGGGTAAAAAGCAACTGACAGTAGACCATATGACATCATTTTATAAAGCTCAAAACCCAGTAAAGCCAGGGTGGTGGTTCCCTGTATCATGAAGTAGGGGGAGCCAGGAAGATGGGACGGCAAGCACACCTTGTAGCTGCAATGGCTTTGATATTGTTTTAGATGAACAGCGTGGTCTTTACTGCTCTCCACCTTTTTCCATTAGCAGTTGAACAGGCTCAATCCTGCTTCCTTCTCTAGCTACTGCCTACTCTTTCTCCTCCACTTCATTGCCAGGCTTTTAAAAAGAGTCATCTACACTCGTATCTCTGTTTCCCACGTCCTGGGCACTCTCTGGGCACTACAGTGAGTGTGAAATCAACATTTATTTTCCAGCGCTTATCTGCCTTGCTGTCTGGACAGCATGTAGTCTTCTCTCCCTGGTGGAATCTTGTCTCCTAGACGCTACACACTCTCCCAGTTTCCACATCATTTGCACAGCTCCTAGTTCCACCTGTACGTTGATAACTCCAAATTTGATAGCTCTGAAAAATAAAATTTTGATAGCTCTGGCCCAGTCCCCAATACCCCAGTTGCCCCCTGGACATCCTCCTCTGCATGCTCCTCAGGCATCTCAAGCTCATCAGCTCAGTGGCCCCAATTATGTCCTCATGTTCCTCAGGTGGGAGGCGTCCTCTTTCTTACTAGACTCGGGGAATGTGAATTCTCTCCCTGCCTTCTGTTCTTCTCCATAACCTTCCGGCACTCACTTGACTGGTTCTACCAGAGAGTTCTGAAGCAGGCCTTGCCACTAGGCCCCATTTCTCCTTGCACCTTCTTCTCCACTCCTCTTCTTCCCTTTTCTGGTCTTCCTATGTACTTTCCCTCTTCCTTACTATCGAGGCCTGTTTGTAAAAGGTTTCTACTGGGATAAAAGGCAACTTCCTCCCTCAAAATTCCTAGGCCTAGAACATCTTTATCTGCTCCTCTGATTTTCCTTAGTGGGAATTCAGGATGGAGGCATTTGGCACCCAATTCCCTAAAATTCCCTTACAAGCATCTCTTCTCATTTTCACACTCCTACTGATTCTTCAATATGGCTTCTTTCAGCTCCAGAAATCGTGAACTATGAGCCCCTGGGGCTGGAGGCCGATATGTGGTAAGTTGTGCAGCCCACCCTGGCCCCTGGTCTCTGTGGCCCAAGGGCGGAAGGCCTCCAGGTGACATCCCCCTTGCCCTTGAAAACCCCTTTCTCCAGACTCATCTTTCAGGGCCTCTGGCTGCTTCAGCTGGGCTGCACTTGAAACCTTGGCAGCTGGAGGCAGGTAGGCCTGGACCTGAGGCCAGTCAGAGCATGGCTGGGCCTGAGCTTTGCCTGCAGTGGAGAGGTGGAGGAGGGGCAAGGGCAGAGGAAAGGCCAAGGGGTAGCCTCCCTCTCAGGGCCTGATAGTAACCCTGGCTCATTCCATCAGTCTGCCAGATGTTCACTATGAGCCTCTTGTGTTTGTTCTGGGCAATGTCTTGGGCGTGGGGGTACTGCAATGACTGGTCCCCTGCACAGATGGACTCCTTCGTTTGAATGGTGCTTTACAGTTTGCTGAACACCTTCATTACTTGGCTTTCTAAAATCCTGCCAGCAGTCTTGTGAGGTAGTTACCATTATGCTGATTCTGTGAGGAGAGAGAGGCTCAGAGATGACAAGGGAATCACCTGTATCATAGAGCCAGCAAGTACAGGCGTCTGGCCTTGGACTCAGCCTCCAGCTCAGTGTCCAGAGCTTGATGACTCCAAATGTGGCCCAGGATGCTGAAGAAGATGGGGGTGGAGAGGGGCTTGGGGCTTGAGACAGCATCCAGGGGCCACTGGGGAGGAAGAAATGACGTCCCCTCTGAGAACCGGGTGAGGAGCCTGGCGACCGCTGACCTGACTGCTTTGTTTTGCAGGAGCATCGGTGTCATCACCTACATCCTGTGAGTATCCCTGATCCTGGGGCTCAGACCCAGCTCAGACCTGGCGAGCTAGGAGGAACGAGAGAGGGGCAGGCAGACAGACAGGCAGACAGACAAACTGAGCACCAACTGTGAGCCAGCTGTGTTACATCCACACAGCAAATCTGAGGCTAAGTGCTCTTAGCTCCATTTCATACATTTGTCCGTGGCGTTGAGGTCATGCAGAAACCGAGAGGGCCGCCTCCGGCCCTCCAGCATCCCAGCCGTGACCAGACTGAGCTTTACTGTGAGAATGTCAGTTTTCACTCAGAAGCCTTGGGACAGCCGGAAGCTGGCTGTGCTCTCCCTGGTCCTGCCTCTTCTCCCTCTCCCCAGATCCCCTTTTCTTCTTCTCCTGTTCTGGCTCCTCCTTTCTCTCCGCACTCCCTTTTCCCCAGTCTCTCCTTTCTGTCGTTGGAGTATTAAGGCGTTTCAGCGGGGATTTCCTGCTTAGCTCCACTGTGTAGTGGATTGCGCCTGGGGTTGGAGTCAGACAGCTCTGTCACTTTCCCTCGCTGTGGCCTTGTCAGGTTATTTAACCTCTGAGCCTATTTTTCTCGTCAGAAGAATAGGAATCACAAACTCCCCACCGCCAGTGTTGTCGTGAGGGTTAAATTAGCCAACATGTGCTCATTTCCCGGCAGAGGCACTGGCAAGTAGTGGGTTAGTAATTGTTCCTCAGGGCTTCCTCACCTTTTTCTCCTCACAGCACACATGGAAAACGATATTTTCATAGCACACTGGGGTAAGAGTTTGCCCACAGCCAGAAGAGACAGGGAGCATTATGAGGGAGCATTAACATGACACCCCTGTAAACCAGTTCTCTGATTCTTGTGGCGGTTCTCCGACGGGGAAGCTCTGCTCGATGGCGGACCCCCCTGAGCTGTGGCAGAGGGTCTCAACCCTGGCTGCACATTGCTTGTTTTTGTTGTTGTGTGCCATCGAGTCAATTCCCACTCATAGCAACCCTATAGGACAGAGTACAGCTGCCCCATAGGGTTTGCTAGCCTGAAATCTTTACGAGAGCAGATCACCAGGTCTTTTCTCCTGAGGAGCGGCTGGTGGATTTGAACCACTGACCTTTCAGTTAGCGGCCGAGCGCTTAACCATTGTGCAACCGGGTCCTCTTGGCTGCAGATTAGCAATTTTAATAACTACCATGGCCCAGGCCCCATCCCAGATCTATTAAATCAGAGTTGTTACAGGTGAGACTGGCATCAGTATTTTTTTTTCCTAAATTTTATTTATTTTGTTGTTGTTGAGAATATACACAGCAAAACATACACCAGTTCAACAGTTCCTACATGTACCATTTAGTGACACTGATTACATTCTTCGAGGTGTACAACCATTCTCACCCTCCTTTTCTGAGTTGTTCCTCCCTCATTAACATAAACTCACTGCCCCCTGAGGTTCCTGTCTAATCTTTTGAGTTGCTATTGTCAATTTGATCCTATATAGAAAGTTCTTAACAGAACATAATGCTCAAGGCAGACTTTTTTTTACTAGTTAAGCTAAACTATTCTTTGGTTATAAGAAGACTTCAGGGGATATAGTTTCAGGGGTTTATCCACCCTCCATGGCTCCAGAAAGTCTAGAGTCCATGAGAATTTGAAATTCTATTCTGCAGCATCAGTATTTTTTAAAAGCTCCCGCTGAATTTGATGCAAAGAGAGAACTGAAAACCACTGATGTATGTAGTTCCACATCAGAGCCAGAATATTCAGACGTTGGCTCTTGAAACCTTGATTTCCTCAGAATTCTGACATCCATATTGAAACATTAGGGTATTCCAGCATCTACAGGGCACACAGTCTTCTTGCGTTTGAATTCAACACGGCTTTAGTGAGTACCTGCTCCATGGCAGGTACTATGTCAGGTACTTGGGGTACTGCCGTAAAGGAGTTTCTGCCCTGCTTGCCTGGAACTCCCTGTCTGTGGGAGAAACACCCGCATGGCTGACTGACGCAGGGGCAAGGCTATGCTGGAGGTACGAACACGCTTCCATGAGATACAGACGAGGAAGCAACTGTTTTCGTTTGTTCCCCACCGTTCTCTCTTTTTTCCTATGAAGTATTCTTTTTTTGTTTTTTAATTTTTTTGTGGTGAAATATATGTAAGAAAACATTTCAGCCATTTTTATATGTACAATTCAATGACATTAATTACATTCACCATGTTGAGGGAGCTGCTGGTTTCACTGGGGCTGTGGACGTTTTCACAAGAGAGAGATTTGAATTGGTCTGTAAGGAATGAGGTTAATCCTGCAGGTGGGGGGTGGGGGGGCTGTGTTGTCTGAGGAACAGCGTGAGGAAAGGAAAGGTGGCTGAAGCGTATGGAGTGTGTGGTACGGAACAACTTCTGAGGTCCTCGAACGCCTTCCTTAGTTTAGATGGGACCCAATAGAAAATGGGGAGTCATAGAAGGTTTTTCTGGGTGTTCTAACAATAACAATAATAGCTATCAATAACGTCTAACAATAATAGCTCTTAGAAGGGGCCAGGATTGCACAAAACATTGTATGTCTTATCTCTGTCATTTATTCTTCACATGAGATAGGGACTTTTATTTTCTTCACTTGACAGATGAGGAAACTGAAGCTCCAAGAAGCTGAGTAAATTACCTAGGTTCACACAGTTAATAAGTGGCAGAGCTGGAATTCAAACCCAGGATTGAAATACCTTCCCCCCACCCCAGTGGACCCTGCTGCCGCCATGCTAAGAAAGTGGCAGTGGGGATGGGGTGACAGTCAAGAGATATTCAGTAAATGGGATCCACAAGACTTACTGGCCAGTTAGATGCGGTGAGGGAAGGGAGGGAAGGGTCAAAGATGACTCCATGTTTCTAGCTAGGGTATCTTTGTGAAGTGATGCCATTCATCAAGGCCAGGGTGCATGGAAGGAGGTTTGGAGCCAGTGAGTTCTGGGACAGTGGGACATCCGGGTAGAGTTATCTCAAGAGCAACTGGAATATGAGTCGGGAGATGGTAGATTTGGGAGCCACTATTTGTACGACACATCCTTGACAAGCTCTGCAAGGGAGCCTTACAGACCCTGCCTGTCCCTAATGGCCCATCTGTTTCCACACCTCTTGGGCTTTGCTCAATCTGCTCCCTTAGCCTAGACTCTTCCATCTCCTTCTACTGTGACAACCTCTCTGTTCTTCAAGATGCAGCTGATGCAAACGTCGCCTCTACCTTGAAGCCTGCACTGCATCCTTCTCCTTCCTGTCTCCCCCAGTCCTTGGCCTTCCATTATATTCTACTTTGTTCTGCGGGGGATTATAGAGAACCGTGTCCCTCTGTTTCTCTCCTCTAGCCTTTGAGTCCCTTGAAGACAGTTTATCTCTGCCAAGTACTTAGCAGGAGATCCATAAAAGTGTACTGAATTGTATTCAATTGAAAAGTTTGCTCATTGGCTGCCCAGAGGGGGTCGGCTGTGTTGCTGGGGGCCTCCCATCCCCATACAACAGGATGGGTCAGGGTTCCCCAAGTCTGTCATCCGCATTTCCATCTACTTCGCCACAGTCACGTGATGCCCTCTCTGTTGTGCTCAGCCTAAGCGGAGCATCCCCTTTCCTGGGAGACACGAAGCAGGAGACGCTGGCGAATATCACGGCAGTGAGTTACCACTTCGATGAGGAGTTCTTCAGCCAGACTAGCGAGCTGGCCAAGGACTTCATAAGGAAGCTTCTGGTTAAAGAGACCCGGTAAGAGAACAGAGAAAGGCGTTGGTTCCAAGGTATTAATTGTCTGTCTGTCTCTTTGCCTTTTCCGAGGACGTGTCAGTGTGCCCTGCTTTGCCGCGGGCTGTCATCTGTACCAGGCAGGTGCTGGGAAGCGGGCACTGACCATGATTTGGCATTCATTGTGTTTGCTCAAGTCTTTCTGCTTTGTTCTCCTGACAAAATGCAGATAAACGTGTGTGTGTATGTATATACGTGTGTATGTATGTGTGTATGTACATGTATATGTGTGCATGTGTGTATATATGTGTGCGTATGTGAGTATGTGTGTGTGTGTGTTTGTGTGTGTGTGTGTGTAAGTCAGCTTGAGTTTCTCTAGTGCTCATTACCTTGTACAGTCTGTCCCAAAAGCACCTGGTACTAGGATTTGAAAAGGTAAATTGGCAGGGTTCTCAAGCCGGTTCAAGTTGGGAGGAGAGAAGGTGGGCTCAGAGGGGTCAGTACAAGCACAGGGGGAGAGTGGGAGATGTGCTATTCCTACCCTGCTAATCTGACCCCTTTTTCAGAGCCCAGCAGGAGCCCTATGGCTGTTGGGGCTAGAGAAGGAGATGGGCAGAGAATTGCGCCCTGGGGGCACAGTGGTTAAAAGCTTGTCTGCTAACCAAAAGGTCAGCAGTTCAAATCCACCAGCCACTCCTTGGAAACCCTATGTGGGCAGTTCTACTGTATCCTATAGGGTCGCTATAAGTTGGAATCGACTCGGTGGCAAAGGGTTTGGTTTTGGTGTTTTTGTTTAGGTGCCCAGAGAATGGCCTAGATGAGGCAGGGGGAGAGACACTTCACAGACCCTAGAAGCCCATGTCTTCTCTGTCCCACAGACTCCAGAGAGGGCCAGAGTGGGTTCCTCTAAAGTGCAGGGGCCCAGACTAAGGGCAATGCTAGTGAAGGTCACCCTACCTGAATACAGAGCAGCAAAGGGTAGAGGATGGATCTGGGAGGCAAACAGAAAAACAGAGAACAGAGGTGTGGCAATGGAGAGCTGGCTTTTGGAGGATTCTGGGGGGAAAGGAAGCTCAATAGAGCATTTATGTCTCTCCTGTAGTGTGACATTAAACCCTTTGACCTTGGGACTGTAGGTGAGGGGCCCTTTAACCTTGAGACTGAAGGTGAGGGGCCCTTTAACCTTGAGACTGAAGGTGAAGGTTTACGTCAGATTACTCTTACCGGGAGCCTGGAGCCCTTTTCCCCTCAGGGCAGGGCACGCAGCCGTCTCCCACCTGTCTCTCCCTCCCACATTGTACTGGTCTGATGTCAGTGGTCAGAGAACGCCCAAATGCAGGACTGAAAGAGTTAAGACTGGAGACAGCTGCTTCCAGTTTTTGTCCTCATGGATCATCACTGTTTTCTGATCCCTGTTTCAGGAAACGACTCACAATCCAAGAGGCTCTCAGACATGCCTGGATCACGGTAAGGGCTCAGGTTTGAGTTCCAGCTAGCAGGCGGGTCCCCGCTCTGTTGCCAGGGCTGGCAGGGTGGCCAGATGCGGAGAGGCCTTTGCTTGACACACTGACTCCCGGGTATAGATCTGAAAGCTAGTCGGGGGCTTCGGAGGGTCTGGGCTTGTTCAAATAGGTTTATGCTACTTTCAGTTTGTATTTCACAGATCAAAGTGACTCGTGAAACCCTCACATACCTCAGTTGAAACCCTTTTTCTTTGAGACCAGCTTGTAAAATGTTCTTTGCTGGAGGTCATAAATTCATCTTTACTTCCCAAAGCAGAAGTCGGGGCTTCCAGCCATAGAGGGAGGTCAACAGCAATTAAAAAACGCCAGCTTTGTAACCAGGGAGGGCCCTTTCTTTCTGGTTTCTGGGCTCTGAGTAAAGGATGACACCCAAACCAGCCACCCGCTTCCTCGGTCCCCGCGGGCCTCAGGGAACAGACTCTGAGGTGAGGCCTGGTGGGGAATCAAGGCAGCCACTCTGTAGGGTGATCCACTCCCTCTGTAAAGGGGAGAGGCAAATGGTGGATCCCTGCCTAACTCCCCTTGTAATAGAGCGGCTGGTTTTTCAGGGGGTCTTGCAGCCTGGTATAGGGAGAAGCACTTTGGAAGGGTAGGAGTCAGGAGATCAGGATTCTGGCCTCGTTCTGCTGGCAGATTAGCTGTGTGGTTCTCAGGGACGTCACCCGACTTCCCGTTCACCTCACTTGTTAAATGAGAAGGAGGAGAGGGTGATCCGTGAATCTGTGAGTGGTACAAATAAGAAGGGTAGAGGCCCATGGGGAGTCCCTGGGTGGCACAAATGGTTAAGCGCTCAGCTACTAACTGAAAGGTTGGCAGTGCGAATCCACTCAGGTGCCTCAGAAGAAAGGTCTGGTGATCTGCTTCTGAAAGATCACAGCTGTTGAAAACCCTATGGAGCACAGTTCTACTATGACACACATGGGGTCACCATGAGTCGGAATCGACTGGATGGCAACTGTTATATTTGTTTATTTATTAGAAGGCCATGGAAGATGCAAGGGAGGGAAGGCTGGGTGGCCTGGGATAAGGTCAGGTTCATCTGCCTCTTGGAGGACAGGGAAGGCCAGGGCCTCCAGGTCTGGGGTTGGCACAAGGCACAGAGCTGGGGGATGTCTTGGGCTGCCTCCCTGCTCAGCAGGGCTTTGCCGAGGCCCAAGGAGCTGACTGTTGCCAGAGGAGGGAGCCCCTCTGCTAGCCGTGGCCTCGTGTGTTCCAGACCTGAGGGGATCCCCGCGGGGCCCTCGCTCTAGCCTGCTTGTCTGTGTGGGCAGCCGTTAAACGCTGTGCGTGTGGAGACCCCCTCTAATGACCGTGGACCACCCTGCCCTGAAGGGAGCATGCAGGCAGTACCCTCCCCTGGTGCCCTACCCACCCTGGTTCTTCTCCCCGCCTGACGCATGCCTGAATGCCGACAAGTGTGCCTCCCGCCTGCACCTTGAGCTTGCCTTTGCAGCGTGGGGCACATTAACATTCTGGTTCTTCTGTCCTAACACCCACCAGTCGATAGGAGAAGTCAGAGCCTCCGAACAGCAGAAGACCAAGCGCCTGAGAGAGTACACCCTCAAAAGCCACTCGAGCATGCCCCCCAACAACACCTATGTCAACTTCGAGCGTTTTACCCACGTGGTAGAGGACATGGCTCAGGTGGAGCAGGGGTGCCGCTCCCTGGCGGGGGCCCATGACACCATCCAGGACGACATGGAGGCCTTGGTCTCCATCTACAACGAGAAGGAGGCATGGTACCGAGAGGAGAGCGAGAATGCCCGGCACCACCTTTCCCAGCTCAGGTACGAGTTCCGCAAGGTGGAGTCCCTGAAGAAACTCCTGCGCGAAGACATCCAGGCCACAGGGTCCAGCCTTGGAAGCGTGGCCAGGAAATTGGACCATCTGCAGGTGCAGTTTGAGGCTCTGAGGCAGGAGCTCTCGGCAGACCTACAGTGGATCCAGGATCTGGTGGGCAGCTTCCAGCTGGAGAGTGGGGGCACAGCTGGCCTGGGCTCCGTGTTCCGCCGGGATGCCAGTGAATCCTTGACGGAGCTGCTCAACAGAACGTACAGCGAGGAAGTCCTGGCCGGCTTGAAGTTCTGAGCCCCAGAATCCAGCCAGGAATTAATGCATCCTGGATGGCTGAGTGGCTTGCAGAAGCATGCTCTCAAGTGCCCTGCTAGGGCGTCCAGCTAGAATTATCCTTCAGGTTCTAGTTAGCAGTGCATTCTGCACTTCCCCTCACCCGCCTGGTTTTCTGAAGAGGGCGCTGGCAGGGCAGCCAGGCTTTTAAAGCAGTTAGAGAATGGATACCCCTCAGTGGAAAGCCTTAGTTAGCATCCCCTGCCCCAGAGGGAGGAATGCTGGCCCTGGGGAGATGGCTGATCATTGATTCAAGATGATGGAGGCCTCACATCCCGCTTCTCACCTACACACCTTACGGATTGCAGATCTGGGGATAATATCTGAATGGACTAGGGATAACAGTAAGTCAGCCTGGCGCTTCCCTGCTGCAGAAGCAGGGATTTAAAAGGAACAGAGAAAATAATACTGCCTTCCGCTTGCGTCGACTTTTCATTTACCAAGCCCTGTATGCCTGTGGCCTCGTTTGATCCTTAAGAGAATTCTGTGAGACAGGAAGGTGGATATTATTCTTATTCCCATGTACCAGATAAGGAAATTGATTCTGGGAGGGGCAGTGACTTACTCAGGATCACCCACAGCTAGTCAACACAGATGAAGCAGGAACTCAGGATGGCCGTCTCTAAGATGAGGTACGTGAGAGAAATAGGGAGGCTTTGCTGTAAATATCGGTCTTAATATTAAAGTTCAGATCCCATAGGCAAAGTAAGCAACTTCATTTATTCTGCCAGGCGAACGCCATATCGTTCAGTCAATTGCCCCGAGAAATGTGTCCTAGAGGGTGGAGTTCACTGTCCCTGCCCATCCCCATCCCCATGCAGAGCAGGAGAGAAAGGCAGAAGCATCTTACCCCCCTTCACTCTTTCCCCGTTCTGGCCAAGGGCCTCAAGTTTGTGTTGAGAACAAAGACCAAAAGGTGTTCCATAAGGTTCCTTTTCTTCTGTACCTAGGGCATTGGGCCCTGAAAGGGCTGAGAAGCTCCGTGAGCGTTTTTGCTGAAGGTGGAAGTGAATATCGGGAAGTACAAGGCTCCGTGGCCCCTTCATGACCCAAAGCTTTGAGCACACCTCCCGGAGGGCTATGTGATCGGAGGAGGGGCCAGCCAGCCACTCACATTCACAGATCATGGCGTGTGGGCCCAGCTCCATGGCTTGGGGATGAGGGAGAGGCAGACTGTATAGTTTCAAAGTGCCTTCACAGCCTCACAAACACTCTTATCAGATAAAACCAAACCCATTGCTGTGGAGTCGATTACCTACTCATAGCGACCCTATAGGACAGAGTAGAACTGCCCCATAGAGTTTCCAAGGAGCGCCTGGTGGATTCAAACTGCTTACCTTTTGGTTAGCAGCCGTAGTACTTAACCAGTACACCACCAGGGTTTCCTCTTATTAGATAAGTAGGGTAAATATTATTTCCAGTTTGGAAATGAGGAAACAGAAAGAGTATATGATTTACTCAAAGTCACATCATTAATGGCAAAAAGAAGATCTGAGGAGAAGACCATTGTTCTTTCTGCTCCCTCTAAGTACGCTAGCCTCGGGGAGTTTATTGTCTGCTTACAGTAGCAGGTTATACCCAGATTCATCCATCCACCTCCCAATGGCCAGGCCCTCTCTTGGCACTGGGGACAATGTTGAGTAAAAAAAGGCATGTTTCCTGCCTTCATGGAGTTCACAGTCCTGTGAAGGAGTTAGGCATTCATCAAAAATCACCATCATACATCTGCAGCTGTGATATAATCTCTGAAAAGCAAGTATGTGGCACCGCAAGAGCCTGCAGAGCTGGTCAGGGTGACGTGGTGATGTCGGAGCTGAGGTCAACTAAGCAAACCAAGGAGAGAGAAGTGTTCCCAACAGGCGTCAGCAAGGGCTGTGCAGTGGGAGGGGACAGGCTGAAAATGTGAGGACAGAGAGAAAACTAGAGAGCAGAGAAACAACAAGAGTATGGTGTAGGTGCGGCTGGAAAGGAGGCAGGGCCAGACCTGGCAGGTCTTGGCCACATTAGAGGGCTCTGCCTTTATCCTAGGAGTCATGGGAAGTCACTGTAGGGTGCCCAGCTGGTCAACAGCTCGAGATGATTGAGAGGAAATGCCCAGTGAGCAGTGCAGACAGGAAGTGGTTTAGGATGAGACCAGGAGATTTTGATCCTGTAAAACCATTTCTTCAAAACTGTATTTCCTTTTCTATTAGCATGCTGGGTCATTTCAAATATCGTACATAATATTTATAATACAAACTTTTTTCATGAAATATAAGAATCCATGATTATAAGATTCCTGGCACCGTGGTTAAAGAGATCAACTGCTAACCGAAAGGTCAGCAGTTTGAAACCACCAGTGGCTCCGTGGGAGAAAGACCTGGCAGTCTGCTTCCATAGAGATTTATAGCGTTGGAAACCCTGTGGGGTCGCTATGAGTAGGAATTGACTCGACGGCTGCGGGTTTGGTTTTTTTGGGTTTAAGAAAGAAAAAGGAGTCCCTGGGTGGTGCAAATGGTTAGCGCGCTCGGCTGCTAACTGAAAGGTTGGAGGTTTGAGTCCACCCGAGGCACATCGGAAGAAAGGCCTGGTGATCTACTGAAAAATCAGCCATTGAAGACCCTATGGAGCACAGTTTACTCTGACACACGTGGGGTTGCCATGAGTCGAAACTGACTTGACAGCAACTGGCTTAAGGAAGAAAAAAAACCCAAGATGGGGCGTCCGATAGGAGACCCCCACATAGAGAGGGACGTGCTCTGTGGGAGGGTAAATAAAGCCACCACACAGAAAGAGAAGGCAAGGAAACCTGTGTGTGTCAGCCTGGACACCCAGCGCGGCGTGTAAAGTCTTCCCCTGACAACAGGAACCCCAGGCCAGATGTGCTCCTGCAGGCTGGCTTGCTGAGTCTGCGCTGTTAGTGTGAGCCACAAGAAGCTCAAGCAGAGAGTCTAATGGAAAACCATCTGGGGCTGGTTGGCTCCAGATGACTGGCGAAGCACTATAGTCCTCCCTGGGGGCACCTGCCTTCACTCCAAGCTGATACTTGGAGAAATAATGCCATTCCTTGGGAGATGCATCCTGATTTCAGAGATCTGAAAATGTGCATCTTGGAGTCAATGGAAGATGGTAAAAATCCTGTTTTATTTTGTTTTGTTTTTTTCCTATGCCCCGGGAGAATTGGTGCACATGGCCCAGCTACAATCCCTCCAAGGACTTACCTGCCTGTCTGGGACATTGTGTACTCATTTGGCGTAAAAAAAAACCCGTTGCCATCGAGTCGATTCTGACTCATAGTGACCCTGTAACACTGTCTGGCTCAGACAATGCAAATATGAAAGGTCCCTTTGGCCATGTCCACACATCTTTACTCCATCCAGCCAGGCCTCCTAAAGAGAGCAAGCTGCTGATTGAGCAACACAGGGCAAACTCTCCTGTGAGGATCTAAATAAAATGCAATAAAAGAGGGAAATGTTGGCAGTGATTTGAATTACAGAGACTGGGAAAAGCAGGGATAGGGGAAGTGGCTGTTTCAGAGTCATGGGGCCAGCCACACACTATTCATCCTGGGAGAGGCCTCGGGGGTGAGCCCCCTACACCCTCACTTGCAAGCTGGACTTGTCAACCAGCTAGTCAGCTCCAGGACTGGGGTCAGAACCCACAAGTGGTTTTCCTCACGTTGATGGAATCCTTCTCCCTGTGTTTACGTCCAGTTGTTCGTAACTACTGCTCATCTGGGTGTTTCAGAAACAGACACTTTTCTGAACAAACAGTGTCTAAAGACAAATGGAAGTGAACTGAGAACTGCCCCCAACCCCAAGTCTTCAGGGAAAATCAGAGAAGACCGCGACCTTCCTTCTGTCACCTGCCAGCCCTCCTCCCACCCTCCTTTGGCATCAGACGTGATGCCAAGGGGAACGCAAGGAGGCCTGTGGACATGCGACGTTATGGAAGGCCCAGCTGGAGAAACTGCTTAACATTTCTGCACATGCCCAGCAGCTGGCATCTTCACAGTGGCAGGCGAGGGCAGGACAGGGTGACCTGTGGGGTGGAGGGTGGCGCCTGGAATGTGTCTCTGGTACCTAGGGGCAGGAAGGATTGGGAGGCGCTGCTCTGTGCCCATGCCCCTCTGCCCTCACTGTGGGTTTTTAATTCACCATACTGTGAACTCAAAGGTTGACCTCCAAGGAGAATCACTGGGAGAGTCGGCACTTGAGGGAGGCGCCCGCCTGTCCCTGCCCTGAGGCAGATGCACCAGGCATATGATTATCTGACTTTGTGATGGCAAGGGTGGAGATGGTCTGGTGATTGAGATAACGCAGATGCCAGAGGCTGGCAGGGGAGGGGTGGAGTAGAGTGATAATGAGAGCAGAAGCCAGGGCTCCTCCATGGACTGCCTCCCCCCACACACGTGCTGCAGGTGATTAGGATGATGGTGGTTTCCCAGCTCATTTGGCCACGAAGCCCAGCCTGCCTGTGTGGAGGTGGCTGTGTGCCCAACTGTCACCCCCACTGCCGCCTCCTGTAAATGTCTGTGGAGCTGAGTGGCCTTTTCTCCTTTGTCTGTGACTCCCTTGGCCTGGAGAGAGGATTCTTTGCCCGGTAGAGGAGACCCAGCAGTGGGCAGACTTGAGGAGCAGGGGGAGCAGAAGGGGTCGGTTCAGTTGAACAAACATTGATTGTGCTCCAGCTCTGGGGAGTGGTGACAGATAAGGTCAAGAAAACCCCTGAATAAAAGCTGCAGTGTTTGGGACAGATGGGACCCAACCAAGCAGGAGAAGGGAAAGGCTCAAGTGAGAGAGAAAATAGAGGTACCTAATATTCCAGATAAGGGGGCGTGGTGGCACAGTGGTTAAAGCAGTCGTCTGCAAACAGGAAGGTGGTTCAAACCTACCAGCCACTCTGCAGGAGAAAGATGTGGCAGTCTGCTTCTGTAAAGATTTACCGCCTTGGAAACCCTATGGAGCAGTTCTGCTCTGTCCTATGGGTTCCCTATGAGTTGGAATCGACTGGACGGCAGTAGGTTAATATTCCAGAAACCAGGAGAGAGATGAATTCTGATTGCGAAAGGGGCAGAGGGGTGGCAGAGAGCAAAAGCCTTCTCGGGGAAGCCCTCCCTGCTCCCTGACCCCTCCTAGCTGCAGGGGGTAAGCCCCAGTTGGGGTCAGGAACCTGGAACTGCTGGGTGGCACCATAGAGACTAAACGGAGGGAGAGGTTTTTGTTTTAAATTGTGCTTTAGATGAAGGTTTACAAACCAAACTAGTTTCTCATTAAACAATTAATACACGTATTGTTTTGTGACATTGGTTGCCAGCCTCACGATGTGTCAACACTCTGAGAGTTTTTGTTTTTAACTTTTTATTATGGAAATTTTTCAAAACTTGCACAAAAGCGTAGAGAATGGTGTCCCCATGTACTGTTACCTGCTGCAGCATTCTTCCAGACATGGGTAACTGATTTTCATCTGTCTCTCTTCCATTTTTTTCTGGAGCATTTTAGAGCAAATAATGTTGTTGTTGTTAGGTGATGCTAAGTCGGTTCCGACTCATAGCGACCCCGTGTACAACAGAACGAAACACTGCCCGGTCCTGCGCCATCCTCACAATCGTTGTTATGCTTGAGCCCATTGTTGCAGCCACTGTGTCAATCCATCTGGTTGAGGGTCTTCTCTCTTTAGCTGACCCTCTGCTTTACCAAGCATGATGTCCATCTCCAGGGACTGGTCCCTCCTGGTAACATGTCCAAAGTAAGCAAGATGAAGTCTCGCCATCCTTGCTTCTAAGGAGCATTCTGGAGCAAACTTTAGGCTTATTTAACTCATAAAAATCATTTAGCATGTAGCTCTAACTGATAAGGACATTCCTTTTTTCTTTCTTCATAGAATTAAAAAAAAAAAAACCTCTTTTTTATCATTGAGATGAATTCATAGGACATGAAATTCACCATTTTAAAGTGAATAATTCAGGACCATTTAGTACATTCATATTGTCTTATAACCACCACCTCTGCCTAGTTCCGAAACATTTCCATCACCCCAAGAGAACGCCCTGCACCTATTAGGCAGTCACTCCCTATTCTCCCGCTCTCACCAAGCCCCTGGCAACTACTGTTTTATTTTCTGTCTCTACCTCTTCGGAATATTTCCTATAAATGGGATCATACCATACCTTCTTTCACTTAGCACCTTTTGGAGATTCACCCCCATTGTAGCACGTATCAATACTTCATTCCTTTTTATGTCTGAATAATATTTCATTATATGGATATCCATTCATCCACTGATGGACATTTGGGTGGTTTCTACCTTTTGAC